AGCCATGGAGAGGTTGGAGGGAGGTGGGCTGTAGGACAGCAGGCAGCTGTCTGCATCACGGGGAGCCTTGGCAGCTGCCTATGCTCACCAGTCGTGCTGGAGGCCAGATGGAGTAGGTGGGCAGCGAGGAGCGGGCCCCTGCTGCCGCTCCCCTTCTACAGCTCGGCTGGTGGCAGGGCATGGGTGGCCCTGCACGAGGACTGCCTGGTGGGTGGGGGAGTGCTGTGCTCAGGGTGTGAAGGTCCTCTCTGTTTTGTCAGGAAAAGACACGCACAAAAATAAATGCAGAGACCAGGATAAATTCTGCAAGCAGAAATGCTTGTGAAATGCCCGCTGGGCCTGTCACAAGCGTGATTTAAATATGGGCTTGCTGTGGTCACCTGGGTAGCTCCAGTACAGTTGCTGGGTTTACACCATACTTTAAAGCTAAGCATGTTGGAGACGCTTCTCTGAGCCAAGATCTGTCACGTGCCTCTCTCTGTGTCCCCCCAAGGCTCTGGCAGGGTACCCACTAGCTTTGTTTTCTAGCTGCTGGTCCCTGTCCTCTCTGCGGCTGGGGGGGCAGTGCGGCTGGGGGGCCAGCCTGCACCACCACAGCGGTGCTTCCTGTGCAGGCGACGCTGCGCTTCCGCTTTCCAGCCAAAGCACTTCCAGCGCTCCAAAAGGCTGCGCAGTGCAACCACAGACATATGTGGGTGCAGGCAAACCATCCAGCTGCTCCCTGGTTCTCATCAGTACTGTGGAAAGTCCCACGTTTCAGGGCCCAGCTGTGTGACTCATTTGTGCCGCGGCTCCCAGGATGTCGCAGCCCGGTTTGTGCTGTGCGAGGTTACAGTGCTCCAGGGCCACAGCTGGATAAGCCGGGACGAGTGGTGATGGGGCATGCTGGTAAAACACGGAGACAAAGTTGTGTTCAGGACCTGATTGCCTGCGCAGGTTACGTGCTCTGGTTGGAGCTTCACCGTATAATTCATGTTCGTGAATACCCTGCCTGGGAAGGAGAGGTCGCAGCTCCTTTCCTCGCTGCATCTCCCGGTTTCTGTGTAAGTGCTCTGGTTTGGGAAGGTCTTCAGCTACAGCCTGTGTTAGTGTTCAACGTGCTCTTGCCTGTTGTCTTTTCAGTCACTATTCAGTCATGGGTATTTAAACCCTGGGTTGAAAAATAAACTGTTCTTTTGTTTGCCTGTCCCTCTGCTTTGTTGCATTCCCTCTCAATCGCTGAGGCGGGAGACGGCGGTGCCTTCACCGGCTTCTCCCGGGGATGAAGCGTGTGGCACCCATGCGGTGCAGCGGGACAAAGCCTCCATCTCCTGGCGGCAAGGCCGCACGGCAGCCGGGCGCTGGTTTCTGTCTGCGGGAGTTGTCCCAGAAAGGAGGGAGAAAGCTTGCCGAGGAAGCAGAGTGAAGCCTTGGCATGCGTGGTGTTTCCTGCAAGGCTCAGCACCTCCGGCGGCGGTGGAGCACGGCATTTATCCACAGGCATCTCAGGGCTTGCTCTGGCTGCCGAGGCAGGGAAGCGGTCTCCACTTGGGTTCTCTCTCTGAGACCTAGAAATTTTTGTCCTGGTCCTGAAGAAGGTTCTCAG